ATCATGGGGCATATCCAAACAACAAGCAAAGTATGATAACACATATGAATTAGTAGAACTAGAATCAAATAATACTGAAACATCCTTATGGCATACTGAAACAATACATGTGATCACGGCATCGAAGGTAAGTATCTCTGGCCTGGCTGGCAATGCGTAGCAACGGGCTTGACCACCACCTGATTGACCTCCCCCTCTAGGGTATCCTCGAGCTGACTGGGGCCCACTCCTAGCTGGTAGTGTAGCTATTGGTGCTAGGATTATAGGATGAGAACTCTACTGTGGGACACAACTCAATAGTCTGGGCAATCTCTCTTGAGGTGACTCAAGTCTCCACACTCATAGCAACCCCTCCTGACAGGCAGCTGACCCTGATAGCTCGAAGAACTGCCTGTAGAAACCTGAGTAGATGGGGCAAGATAAGAACTCTATACCGGTAATAACTTGAATTATTATTGAACTGGGCGGGAACTATAGGAACTGTAGATAACTAAAGAGCTATGAGGAACATGGCGAGCTACCTGAACTGGTCTAGAAGAACAACCTCTGCTATAATAGGACTGGCCTCCAGATGAGGCACTACTAAAACCACCTGAACTATAAGGCCCCTTGGCCTCCCGCTTCTTATGCTCCTGCCTGCGAACCAGCTCTAAGCGTCTAGCAATATCGACCACCTCGTCAAACCTAGCACCTGTCGAAACCTCCTGAGCCATAATGAAGCATAATCTATAGTTGAGGTCATGAATGAAACTCCATCTTCTCCCTCTCAGTGAGAATCCATCATACCGCATGACGAGCCAACTCTAAAAATCTTATCTCATACTGAGTTACTGGCATAGCTGCTCAAATTGCCTACGCAACTCCTCTCTACAAATATGCGGGATATACTTCTCTAAGAAGAGAACTAAGAACGCATTCCATGTAAGTGGCATTGCATCGACTGGCCTGCTCAACTCATAAGCCTACCACCAGTAGTAGGCTACCCCGGTCAGCTAAAAATTAGCGAATGAACCCTCACTAGTGTCTGAAATACCCGTTGTGCGAAGAATCCACTAACACCAGTCTATGAAATCTTGGGCATCCTCCGACTCTGCTCCACTGATATCTGGAGGCTTGAGCTACTCAACCCGCTCCAATATCTTCTCCTCCTCATCACTCAAATGGGGACCAACCTCGGCCCTAGCGGCAGTAACCGGCTGAACTAGCAGTACACTCGGTGTCTAGAGCCCCTAAGCTAGCTGTTCTGGAGTACGTACAGCAGGAGTTTCGGCACCTCCTCCGGCCTGTGAAGTGGTTGGTGCAGCTAAACTAAGACTACCTGAGCCAGACTCGTGCATACCGTCAAAATCTAAACTAAGGCGTCATGTAGGCCAGGAATCACAATGGGCACTGTTGGTGTCTGAGCCGACCCCATCGGCTCAATCACATCTGGTACTTGCTCCAGAGTTGGAGCAACTGGTGGCTCCACGGGTGCTGCTCTGCCTGTAGTATGAGCCATACCTTGGCTTTTACCGCGGCCCTAACTGGTGGTACTAGTGGCCATTCTCTTGATCCGGTCACACGTGTCCTCACCATCTGTGAGGGATAGAAGAGTCAAGTTCAAATTTTTGGAAGTAACAATTCTATACGACAAGAATACAAGAAAGTGAACTAACCTAACAATTCAGTAGCCTCTCAAAGATAAGTACAGACTTCGATGTACCGATCTGCAAGACTCTAATAAACTTCCTCATGGCACGTAATACCTATGAACCTTGCGCTCTGATACCAATTTGTCACGACCTAAAATCCAAACCCATCATGATGGCGCCTAACACACCATCTAGGAAAGCCGAAACATAACAATAAAAAGTCAAAACAACAGAAAATATAGAAATAGCACAAGTCTGAGACCAAGGTAGTTGCTTGGCGTCCGCACTCCCGTGTTTCTCTCTCTTGTCATTTCGATCTCTTTTCAGACATTTGTAATAGTTATAGACTTATCGGACTTGTAGTAGGATTTATAGGTGCTCATGACTAGTAACACCCCAGTTTAAGGTTGTGTTAGGTTGTCCTTCCGCATATTTATGATATTATCTGCTACTTAGTATTATTAAATCATGTTTTAGACTGATTTTCTTGTTGTTTAACTGTTTAACATCGAATTGAGAATAGTTGGCTGGCTTTGTCTTCACGAGAGGCGTCATCACGATCGGGTTCGGGTTTAGGGTCGTGACAGTTTTGTACGTTATATACTGCATAATTCACTTACTACTGAAGTACACAACAGTAAAATAATCGAATTAGTTTTTAAAATAATAGAGGAACGGCATAAAAGAAGACGTACCACTAATACTCTTATGACTATTTTGGTAGTCAAGTATTTAGGATATAAATCTTAAATATTATTATCTAAAATTACGTTAAAGCATGAAAAGATATTAGGTTTTCCTTATGATAAACATGATAAGAAAAGCCAAACACTTGCTAGAATTATTCTAGATGTTAAAATGCATTGCTGAAACCTACGTCCATTACAATTCTAATGAAAAAAATGATAAAAACTACTCCCTCCTGTCCAAAATAAGTGATTTTTTAGTTGTTTTCACACATATTAAGAAATTACCTTTTAACATTAATTAACAATAAAATTGATCATATTAACTTTTACTATCTCTTCACATAAATACTCCGAACATATACTCCAATGTTATTTACTCCAAGGGCAATATAGGGAAAAAAATAATTAATTCATTCTTGAAATCTGAAAAAATTACTTATTTTGGACCATAAGAAAAAACCAAAAAATTACTTATTACGGACCGGAGGGAGTAATTATCAAAAATCGCACAATTAAAATAAGCATGATCGAATTTCCATATTCAAGAAGTATGCACCTTCATTGTAAACTTAGTTTGATTGCAACTTTTATCATAATACTTATTTTTAATGATACCTAATTTTTTGGGAACTTGGGGTGATTTCCAATATACTGATAATAGTCTTGAAATAGAAATATTGCATTTGTGATTTTAGATTGGATAAGAAGAGAACTATTGTGGTTGGTAAAAAATTTACTACTAGATTAATTGGATATTGCAAGGACACAAGACAAAAATATATAGGTGCAACTGTCTAATTATTTCAAAAATATCAAAATCAAATATTTACTTTTCCTAGCCGAATATAAAATAAATCAGGCATAAAACTTTTAAAAATGAAAACTTATTTATCAAAATGAAGAGTTGTCGAGATGTCATGATTTTAATGTACATTTTAAAATTTCAAATATTAGACTGATACATGCTCATTCTTATAATTGCTAAATGAGATAACACTTGCTCAACAAGCATATGATAATGTCATTTTCCGCTAAAAGTTTTGATGTATATAAAAAACTTCATCACTATTATATGTCTACTACTTTAGTTGTCCTTTCATTTGCTAATTGCATTTCGTAGTCCATTGCCTAGGCTCATTNACTGACATCAGTTGCTTAGCCTTACGTCGCCCTTCCAAGGAATCTCAGGAAGGCGCCGCGTAATTATGGTTTCCATCTCCATATAAATCTTTCCCAGATGTGCTCATTCTATATAGACTTTTAGTTAATAATTCTGCTGCTCGTATGATAATTTACATATGCTAATATGTGAGTGTTAGTTTAAGTGCACAAAAAGTGATATAGTCGGAAAAAAGCTTCATTGTAGCATTAGTTATCAAAAGAATTAGGCTAATTATAGTTTGTTTGGTTATTTGCATGTACTTTGGTAGCGTGAAAATAATATGTTTCATAAAAATCACAAGAAAAATTCAACATTCTTGGATCTCTTGTCTAACTACATCCTTTTGATCTATTTGATAATATTGATACCTTTAGTACAAATTTACCTAAGTGCTTGCATTGTTTTCTTCTATCACTTCCATTAAAGTAGTGCTTCCATTGGCAAACCATCTAGAGAAAATAATGTATTTGTGATTTACAAAAACGGAATATCTTATTTTCTCAATTTATTACACTTGCAGTGTGTATGCTAAGTTTCATTCTTCGATCTTCATGTAACCTTTTTAAATCTATCTATACAAGCTAGATGAATCGAACTTATATCACACCTTTCTTAATTGCAACATATTATGTATTCTAAGACTATTGCATAACTCCACAATACAGTTTCTTGGCCGGATAACTTTAGTAGAAAAATTACTTCTCTCACTATAGTCGAGTCATTTATAATTTGGTACATATCAATTGTGTTACATAAAAATATTGTAGAGATATATGCTCTAATTTACCAAGAAGGGTGTCCAACCTGCAACAAATAGCCTTCGATGGCGTAAATTTATCACCATCCGTATAATCAACATAGCGAATTTCACTATTTACTGCTAACATGTGACACTCATCTTACTAACTCTGCCTAGCCAAAAAGATAAGACGGTGCTATTCCAAATGTGCAGACCTGCAGACACAAGTGGGATTCACTGAATAACAGAATACGCGTCTGCCCTTCCACATGAACCTGACATACCAAACCCCAACTGCATGACTGGCTCAGGTATACTTTTAGGGGCCATTTGGTTACCAGGATAGAAGGGGAGCTTTGGCGTAACGGGTAACATTGCTGCCGCGCGACCAGAAGGTCACGGGTTCGAACCGTGAAAACAGACTCTTGCAAAAATGCAAGGTAAGACTGCGTACGATAGGCCCTTGTGGTTCGGCCCTTCCCCGAACCCGCGCATAGCGGGAGCTTAGTGCACCGGTCTACCCTTTTTTTGATTACCAAGATAAGGATATTAATCCCGATATAAATTTTGGAATTATAATTATCCCATATTTAGTTGTGGGTATTAGCTAATACCAGTATAGATTCATACCAAAATGGTGGTATTACTTATCCAATATAGGAGGTGGGCTAAATAATCTCATAGGGTATCCCGGAACTGAACCAACAGCCCATAGTTCTTTCAACCTTTCACAAAACAGGAGGTTTCTACATATGCACTTGTACAAGGGTCAAAGAAAATTAGAGAATATCAAAATGTCTCACTTTCATTTAATGGAAGCTACCTGAAAAAGATAAAAAAGACGACAGCATAAAACTAGTTCGATACGACACAAGTGCCACAAAAATCTTTTCTCAATCCTTCTCCTGAACTTCTGATAACACAGTGAGACGCCTCTAGACGTTACAAGCTCTTTCATATAAATTTGACGGAAAATAAGTGGCTAATCAGCTCATTTAGATGTCTAGCATTCAAGAATAAAATGCCTATGTGATGAGGCATACAGAAAATTGCTAGCTTCCCTTTCCCAAAACATACTAAATGCCAAACCACAAAACTTGAGATGTAATTTAAAGGAACCAATTAAGGCTAATCTTTCCAAGCCAAAAGAGAAGAGGGAACTGAGCTAGGGCAATAAACAGTAGGAGATAATGATGCCTACTTGAATCATACGTCCTCACCTCTGCAAAGAGCACTCTTTTCATTGTCTTCACCAAAAATATTCCCATGCACAAGCATGTCCATGGCATCAAAAAGTAGTAAGAACAGTTCCATACAATTGTTCCCAAAAGAGCTATGGACAATCCTGTAAAAGCGTATCCTGCGTATGAAACAATGTCAAGGAGAGGAGCCTCTCCACTACCCAGTGAGAACAATGTCATCTTCAGCAACGAAACTTGCAAAAACCAGCCAACCAACCCCTTTATAAACAGCCAACTGAGAGCTTCTGGGCTAAACCTGGCAAGATATGACAAGATTCAGAGTTACACAAACAAAAAGGGATATAGTGTAGCAGCACAAGATATTGCACGAAAGATAATAGTTGCAATGCAGAACAATGAAAACAAAACAAGAGACTTACACGTGGTAGAATAAGATTACACCAACCATACCAAGAAGTCAAGGAATCATCACCAATCATATCTGACATGATTGATGTACAGAAAACTACTCCTTTGTCCCAAACTATCCTATTTTCTGTTTTGAGGTGTTCCAAAATTCAGTTTATTTTCCAAGAGAACATTCTTTTATACACTATCTAATAGTAGTACCCTTTACAACTCGGTATTTAGAAGTTATCACATGCCTTTTTTTTCTACTTATAATAGTGGTGTCCTGGCAAGCTTGCAACCTTGCACGTACCTAAACTATTCCACCAGGCACCTACTACCTCCCACCGGCACAAAGTATCATGTAACTCTGGCCGTGAAGGCTTAGGCAGACGGGAAAAAATCACCTAGTATTTTTGCCTTTGCTAAGAATGAAGGAGATAACCCAAAGGAATATTAGCACAAAAGGAAATCATCTGGTGCAGCAGATGGCTTCATGCAAATAACTGAATTAGGTATTGGTGATGAAAACGATATAAAATTCCACACACTCATGTTCAAGTATAAATGTCATGGCATTTGGCGCTTCAAACTAAAATGAGGTGAGCAACAATTAACCAAATTCAATGCAAATATTTGATTGGTAACAAGTCATGTACTCATCATTATTACTCAACACCACATTCAAAGCCTAAAGGTAGCTTGAGGAAGCGATAAGCTTACCTTCCCTGCAAACCCAGTGATAAGCCAGCAAGAACAACATAGGTTCCGAAGGCCATAAACGGAATGTACAAATCCGGAGCATTTATGTCATAGATAGGGGGCTTATAGGATAGCCTGCCACCAACGGGCTCAGTGATTCTTGTCCAATGACCCTATACAACAGTTGAGGAGGTTACTATTTGGAAACATAATGCAATGATGATACTCCAATGAGATAAATGCAAATAAAACCTTACTCTGTGTAGGAAAGGGAAAAGAACTACTTTCAGTTTGTTTCTCACATACTGATCATTCACTTGGAAGTAGTACTGGGGATCCGAAAAGTACCTACTTATCTGTTTCCATAAAAAGGAATTGCAAGTTAGAGCTTTGTTTCTACCAGCAAAGCTGCACAACTCCAATCAGTATCATCCAATAATAAAATGTTCGGACAGTATGGAAGTGTTTTGGACACTAAAAATTTGAAATTATGCAGTTAGGACTACTATCGCGGAAAGTATCTCTAATGTGTTGCACAATCTCACCACTCCAAAACATCATTCAAGAGGTGCATACAATCAATGTGATTTCATGACATACGTGGATAATTTTTCTCAACTTGCAATAACAACAACAACAACAACCCAGTAAAATCCCACAAAGTAGGGTCCGGGCAGGGTAGTGTGTACGCAGACCTTACCCCTGCCCCGATAGGGCAGAGAGGCTGTTTCCGATAGACCCTCGGCTCAGAAAGATGGAAATAAAAACAAGAGACAATTCATCAGTATCGTCAACACAACTTGCAATAACAATAAAGCAAAATATTGGAGGTAGATAGCACTGGTTACAATGTAAAGGTGCATGCAACAGAAGCAGGCGAACTCTTCACTAAGAATAAAAATTATCATTTCGTGTTTATTCAGGTGAGAAGATTCACTGAAATCCTGACGATTTCAGAAAATTAGCTTTTAGCACCTCAAATAAACAAATTGCAAAAACTGCAAAACATTTATGGCTCGACGTGATACAGAAGAATTTCTGGTGCACATGAGACTTCTCCTCGCTAAAACAGTTTTGAAAAAATTACAAGAGAGGAACATTTCTAAAAAAATTAATTCTAAGATGCTGTCGCATTATCAGACTAATCCAAAGGATGGCAATTAAATTTATCTATGTACTGATGGTTTCCTCTTTCTTTCTTTTATTTATTTTGCTAGTTTCTGCATAACTATTTAAATTGCCTCAATCATAAAACAATTCTAATTCCATAACTCATTGTGGCTGATATATTTATCAATTCTGAAGAAAGTTTCTACATCATTTGCTGTGTGTGGGCAAATCTTTTTCCCAGTGCAGACTGCCTTAGCAGCGTAGCTCCCAACTGCAGCTAGACCAAATTGCCTGTACAATCTCCCCCTTCTCCAGAGTCCCAACTTCACTTCCTTCAGTATTTTCCCCTTCTCCAGAGTCCCAGCCTCACTTTCAGTATTTTCCCCCTTCTCCAGAGTCCCAGCCTCACTTTCAGTATTTTCCCCCTTCTCCAGAGTCTCAATGTCACTTCCTTCAGTATTTCCCCCTTCTCCAGAGTCCCAACCTCACTTCCTTCAGTATTTTGTCATCCTGTGATCCTTCTCTACTCACCTTCTCCTTCCTAACTTAGCCATCAGGGTATTTTCCTGGGTCAATTAAACTGTAATTTGCTGCATTAGGTAAAATCACACAGAATTATGTTACTTTATTTACAATGGTGGTTGCCGAGTCATTTGCGCAACTCCCTGACTAATCCCCAGGTACCTGCTACCTCCCTCATATTTAAGTATCGGGTAACTCTGCCACCAAGGCTTAGGCATAATGGAAGAATTCATCTTGGACCCTATTAGGACACAAATCTTGATTCCTAAGGTTGACTCCAACTCTTAGACTGCTAGCCCACCTCCTTAGGATCACAAAGAGACTCAAGTCTACCACCACCATTTTCTATGATTGCCCTTGTTAACAATAGTCATTCCTGAAAATCTGGTACACACACTTCACATCAAAATATTTAAGAGTATTTAAACATCAAAGGAGAGGCAAACATCACTGGTGTAAGAGCTGAATCAGAAGATGGTGTAAGGATTTTTCAGGTTTATTATTAATGGGTCCATCTCCTTTAACCAGCCATTTCTCTTCTCCTAAGCAGAGATGATATGACTTTTTCTCTCTCAGGAAGAAGCCAATTTTGTTAATACTGAATCATTCTCTAAATTGCACACTATGGAGGAATGGGAATTTCTTCACCTTGTTTCACTATACTATATGGTGATGGACAAAAGAACTCCCCTTACGTCTGAAATTCAATACAAAGTTCTAATCAAACTTACATTACTGTATCAAGTAACAATGTCATTTTAATGATGTCATCAAAGTTAAAGACAAATTTTGAAATCTTACAAGAAGCTATGAAATGTGGAATACCCTAGATAAAAAGCAATAAATAAAAGAAAAGGAAATCAATTTTCCTTTGCCTACACAGAAACGATATTCCTTTGCCTACTGTTATGTCATTATGTATTCCTAACATACGTTTTTCATCACCTAATGAACAACTATTGACATAAGAATTATTGAAAGAAACCTATACAAATAAAAGAAACTACATTGAAAAACATACATTGCTTTGAACATACTGAGAACTAGATCCAAGGATTTTTTCTCCATAAGCCCCTAATCCACCTCTGATGAAACCAGAGCTAGCACCCGAGAATGCATTTCCAAAAGGATTCGCCTGCGTATTAGCAGGCGGTCTTGGAACTCCAGGCTGTGCTCCAAGGTTATCATACATTTCTGCAATACAGGTGGTTTTTCCCAATACAAGTGTGAGTAATTCAACATATGCAAAATCCTTTTTGTCATTAATATATTGGAGGCCAGGAGTTATAGCAGCTCTCTGGGTCTGATTTCTGACATTGATAGCATAGTGTTTAGTAAATATGCTATGAACTATAAGCAGTAGAGAAGTTGAAATCCTGCATTGAGTGTAACTTAGGTGAAAGTACAGCTGGAAATTAGTTATTAATCACTGCTTCAAGTCTTCACCATACCTTCTAAACACCCCCCAACTAAGGGTTAAGTTTAATAGTAGGATTAAGAGAAGTAATGAAAGAAGGAAGATTGGAACCCGTACCCAATCTTTTGCATGCAGGTCAAAAATCAATCACACATACACTTAAGCCTAGGATATGACAATTTGAGATGCCATCGAGATGCTTTACATGCAGGGCAGTGGAGAGTCTACAAGAAGAGATGATGGAAATTTAAAATGGCAATAACGGCGTGTTGAAAAAATGATGCCCTGATGTGTTCTACATCAAGAGACAAAAAAGCACAGATTACAGAGGCTATAGTCTGAACTAGGGAATCGATCAGGTGTGTCTGGTGGGCTTGGGAGGTTGGATGTGTCTTCAGGGGAGCGGCCTAGGTGCTTTGGTGATTCGGTATAGCCGAATGTTTTCTTTGTTAGAGGCTATTCCAATGCCTTGTGCATTGGTGAAAATTTTAATGAGTCTTTTAGAGCAACAACAAACTAGTGTAATCCCACGAGTGGGGTCTGGGGAGGGTAGGATGTACGCAGTCTTACTCCCCCCCCC